AGGGAAGAGCTACTAGTTTTAGGTCTGGCCACTGACCTGCAATACAATAGAAACATGTGTGTGAATAGAGACACAGATAACAATAAAATTCTAACCTTATGTACCACTACCCTTGTGAGAGCCACTGTGTTGTGGCTACCCCTAAGCTCTGCACAGCCAGGCAAATGGTATTTCACACTTTCATCCACAGCCAGTGAACAGTCTGTGAGCTTGGTTTTGTTATTTTATTAGGAGAGATAACTTGGATAGGGAAACAGGGATTATGGTAAACAATATGGTAGTGTGACAAGAGCAACACCACCTAGAAAAAAGAGGTTACTTAAAGATCCACGCGGAGTAATGTAGGTTCAATAGTTACAAAGAGTACTTTATTTGATCACATAGATCGTGGGGAGGTTAAGCAAAAGCACGGTGAACATATCAGACAAATAAAATCACTTAAAAGCACTTGGCGTCCTCATTCCTGGGTGATTTTGGCACATAGGGAACCATATAAGGCAATGGGGTATTATCTAGCTATATGATCCTAAGTTTCCATATAATTCAAGCTTGTATTTAGGTTAGCCATGTATTCTTCAGACGTATTCTTGGTATAAGCCAGGATATGTAGAATAGCTTCCTGGTAAGTAGAAACTGGAACAAAAAAATATATATGGTCTTAAATAGCACATAGATCACACCATAACTGCCCCATTCAGAGATAGATTGGTACTTTCATTACCTTCTCAGTGACTTGGCTGTCATACCAATATGATGAATGTAGAGACTTCCTGGGTAACCACCCCAAGTGAAACAAAGTCCACAGTAACAAGTGATTCTAGAGATATATATAAAAAATTATATAGATCATACACATCAAGCAGAATCCCTGAATAATGAGAAACAACAAAATAAAATAGAGGTATATATTACCATCAATGAAGATCAAGAGGACTCGCGTCGACTTGAAATAGGATCAGGTCCTTAATGCTTGTTTAATAGTGCATATATAGGTGGGAAGCCAGGTAGTCTCAATACATAAATATCAAAAAAAGTATTATATATGTAGCAGGCACTATATACCTGAATCTATATACCCAGTATAGGGTTTCCAAAAATTGCTCAAACTGAGATAGTAAAGCGGTTCCTTGAGGATATAACTATATCACAGCGTACAGCATATGTGTGACATAGAGTATATATATTGTCCCCCTAAGAGGATTTCCAAAAAATTCCCTGAAAAAACAGGAGTACTAGGCACATATAGCGTTCCCTCTCAACTCCATATAAGCTCTATGAATCTAAACAGCAACTACCGCTAACTGAGCCAAATAAGCAAAGATAACTTGCCACCGGTGGAAGGTATGCTCCTATTTAGGATGGCCATATGCGGACTGCTGTAATAGTAGCTTTATGGTAGTTTTTCAAAGCCTCGTGCCTTCCTAGCATGGAGCTGTAACAACGCCGCTCCTTTCCTCCTCGTGGGCACCGCACCCTATGAAGACGCCGAGCGTAGTGACGTAATCTATCTCTGAATGGGGCAGTTATGGTGTGATCTATGTGCTATTTAAGACCATATATATTTTTTTGTTCCAGTTTCTACTTACCAGGAAGCTATTCTACATATCCTGGCCTATACCAAGAATACGTCTGAAGAATACATGGCTAACCTAAATACAAGCTTGAATTATATGGAAACTTAGGATCATATAGCTAGATAATACCCCATTGCCTTATATGGTTCCCTATGTGCCAAAATCACCCAGGAATGAGGATGCCAAGTGCTTTTAAATGATTTTATTTGTCTGATATGTTCACCGTGCTTTTGCTTAACCTCCCCACGATCTATGTGATCAAATAAAGTACTCTTTGTAACTATTGAACCTACATTACTCCGCGTGGATCTTTAAGTAACCTCTTTTTTCTAGGTGGTGTTGCTCTTGTCACACTACCATATTGTTTACTATGCATTTCCCGGTTTATAAATCCACACTTTTATGATAAGTGAGTCGGAGATAGTACTAGGACACAAACTATTTGTGCCTTTACAGGTGGCTTTTTTCTGTTCTATTTTTTCGAAACAGGGATTATGGGATGCCCAGTTTTGCTTAAATCAATGAAGGGGGGACAACATCCTTCCTATGTACAGAAACAGATCCTGGACTGTTATTTTCCTTGAAAGCTGTCAGTTTTTGTGGATCAGTAGCAACAGCCCTTTCAACATAGCCTTCTCGATCCCCTTCAGTCTGGCTTTTGCCCACAACACTCCACAGAAAAATTATCTTCTAAAACTCACAAACAACTTACTAACCGCTAAAACCAATGATCACTATTCCGTACTCTTACTCTTGGACCTCTCCGCTGCCTTTGACACAATTGACCTCCTCCTTAAAAAACTCTATTTACTTGGTCTCCGTGACTGTACTCTCCATTGGTTTGAATCTTACCTATCTCACCGCACCTTTAGTGTCACAACTCTATTTCCTCCTCTCCTACTCCTCTTACTGTCGGGGTCCCCCAAGGTTCTGTCCTTGGACCTCTCCTATTATCGATCTACACTTCTTCCTTGGGTCAGCTGATAGCTTCCCATGGTTTCCAATAGCATTTCTATGCTGATGACACACAAATCTTTCTCTGTACTCCTCAGCTCACCCCATCAGTTTCCAAACGTATCACCAATTTACAAACAAAAATATCAGATTGGATGTCACACACCACTTCCTAAAACTCAATCTATCCAAAACTGAGCTTATAATATTTCCTCTCCCACATGCCTCTTCCCTTGATTTCTCGGTCAGGATCAATAGCACCACTATCAACCCATCCCCTCATGCCAGTGTGCTAGGAGTAAACCTGGATTCTGAACTATCCTTTTAGGCCTACATCCAATCCCTGTCCAAATCATGCCGCCTCAAACTCCGCAACATCTCCAGAATACACCCTTTTTTAACCAATGATACCACAAAATTTCTAATTAACTCCCTGGTTATCTCTCTCATCAACTACTGCAACTCCCTCCTCATTGGATTACCTTTACATAGGCTATCCCACCTCCAGTCCATCATGAATACTGCTGCCAGGCTCATCCACCTTACCATCCGTTCAGTGTCTGCTACTCCTCTCTGCCAATCCTTCCACAGACTTCCACTCGCCCAACGAATACAATTCAAAATACTAACAACTTACATCCAAAGAACAAAGACATCCACAACTCTGCCCCCAGCTACATCAGCAACCTGGTCTCAAAATATCAACCAAACTGCTCTCTTCCATCCTCCCAAGATATTCTGCTCTCTAGTTCCCATGTCACCTCCCATGCTCACCTCCAGGACTCCTCTCGAGCTTCTCCCATCCTATGGAATGCCCTACCCCAATCTGTCAGGCTATCTCCTAATCTATCCACCTTTATACGATCCCTGAAAACCTTTCTCTTTAAAGAAGTCTATCCTGCTTCTAACTAGTAAACTGCCTTTTATTTTCTCCATCAGCTTATCCCCCACAGCTATCACCTTTTGTATCACTCAACCATTCCTCCTAGATTGTAAGCTCTATTGAGCAGGGCCCTCTGGTTCCTCTTGTACTGTATTGTAACTGTAATATCTACCTTCATTTTGTAAAGCGCTGTGGAAACTGTTGGCACTGTATAAATCCTGTATAATAAAGATGATGATGATGATGATGATGATGATGATGAAAAACAAACACTAAATTAATTGTGGGTGTATGCTATAGCCTCCCTAACATGAAGGAGAAGGAGACCCATCTACTTTCACAGTTAAAGATGACAAGGCGGCAGGGCAATGTTATAATCATGGGGGACGTCAATTATCTCGGTACTGACTGGACAGAAAAAACTGCTCTCTCAACTAAGGGTCATATTTCTTGAATGTAATGCAGGACAATTTCATGAGTCAAATAGTGGAAGTTCGGACTAGAGATAATGCTCCACTGGACCTACTAATCAAAAGTAATACAGAACTGAGTGCAGATGTGGCAGTGACTACTGAGTAATTACATTTTCCATAAATGATATATAGTATATAACTTTAATAAGCTACGCTCATACTACATGACACTAAATAGGATCAAATTCTTGCAACAAAGAACACTGCACAGATGTGGGAGTACTTTGAAGGTGTAAAAGATGTAAAGATGTAAATGTAAAAGAACAAAAGTTAAACCTGGGTGGCTAAATACTAACATAAAAGGCATATTAATGAGAAAAAAAAAGTTCCTTAATAAATATAAAGTTGAAAGGTCATCATCCACATTCCAAAACTGCAATAGAGTGCAATTCCGAAATGCAAGAATGCAATCAGGGCAGCTAAAATATATTATGAATGACACATTGCAGAGGAGAGTAAAAAAAAAAAAATCTCACAGTTTTTCTTTTCAAATATATTAATAATATAAAAGGCAAGGTCAGACCCCATAAAAGATGATATCGGGAAGTTGGTCACAAGTGACAGGGAGAAGGAGAACTGTATTAAATATATTTCTCCTTTATACAAATGAAAATGAGGGGCATAATAAACAAGACAGTGTTAATGACAATATATTGAATGTGTGTTCAAAAAAACTAGTCCTGAACAAATCACCAGGACTAGATAGATGTCCCTGATGCACACATGTGATGAGAGATGATAGATACATTCCACATGTCAGAATACGGATTATAAAATTACCTCTTTTATTAACTGTAACATAAAGAATTTGGTTTATGACTCATTGTTTGAGGGGTCAATTGCATGATCACTTGTATGATATAGAAAAGAAACACTTAACTAATGTTGCCATTCATTTTAATGAGTGTCATGCCAGCAATACCTCAGCCCTGCATATACAAGAAATGGAGAAAATTGTTGTTCCTAAAAGAGGATGAGCCAGATTTAAGATGTTGTGCAAAAGGTACGTTTCCTGTTGGGTACTAGAAAGTCTTCAGGGGTTAAATCCTCAATGGGATGTTTAATATTTTTATGAAAGAATAGACACCACTCTTTATGTGTGATTAGACATCATAGCATGTGAACAGGGGCAGACTGACAACTCATGGGGCCCCCGGGCAATAGGGGATCATGGGGCCCCTGTGTCCTTGCCCAAACTCAAAAAAGCCTATGAAAAAGGTACCAGGGGCATCTCATGGGGACCCCTACTGACCCCGGGCCCTCGGGCAGTGCCCAAGTTTCCAAATGGTCAGTCCGCCCCTGCATGTGAATTTAATAGATGGGGTTTTTTTCATCCCCCTAGGCTTTCATCCATATAGACATTGTACAGTATATACTGTATTACTACCATTATTTGGTTTTAAAGTTGTTTATTTAATTTTTTTAATTTTTTTTTATGTTGTGGAAAGCAGCTGCTATTGATTGGTGGCTGTGTTCTAATTATCTCACTCAGGCTCACCTGATAGTAGAAGTGTTTTGTACATTTATATAAATACTTGTATGAGATATATGTTTGTTAGCTATAATAAGCTCTGATCTAGCATGAAACACAATACCTGTGGATGCTGTATTCCCCTGTCATGTTTGCTGAGATGTATTTATATTGAAGACTTTATAATATAGGTGATGTTTTAGATGTGCGGCCAACCAGATTCTATTGCTAAGAGTTCCCAAAGAACATAGTAATGTTATAACAAGACCATTGTTCCTCATTTTAAGCACAGCTTACTGACTGGACTGGAACCAGCAGAATGGCAACAAGTAAACGCAGTGCCAATATTAAAAAATGGTCAAGATATATACCTGGAAACCACAGGGCAATCAGCCTAACATCCATAGTATGTAATCTATTGGAAGGAGTGATAAAGGACCATATCCAAGAATCTGCTGATGAAAATAGTATCACTAGTGGTAACCAATATGGATTTATGGAAAGTTTCCAGACTAACATTTTAATGCTGTATGAGGAGGTGAGCTGTAATTTGGATATAGGAAGGTCTATGGACGTAGTGGGGTTTATTTACTAAACCTGGTTGACTCACAATCTTGGGCACCTGTGCATGGTAGCCAATCAGCCTCTAACCTCAGCATGTTCAGTTAAGCTTCAGCAATAAAACCTGGAAGCTGATTGGTTTTTATGCAGAAGTGGACAAGATTCTGAGTCAACCAGGTTCAGTAAATAAACCCCAGTGTGTCTGGATTTTGATAAGGCATTTGATACAGTATTCCACAAACAATCCCTTAAAAAGTAAGGTATTTTGGCATTAATTACATGGTATTTACCCGAATAGAAAACTGATTGCAGGAACAGGATCTGAGGGTGATGATTAATGGCATATTTTCTGAATGGCCTGAAGCTGTGAGGAGGGTGCCCCAGGGCTCTTCCCAGAGTTGGAATAAATAGTTCAATCTCAGTGTTTGCTGATGATACAAAAACTAAGCAAGGCAATAACTTCACAACAGGATAAGAACACCTAGTTGCAATAGAGGGAAGGGCAGCTATATAGCAGTTGAGGTTCAATTTAGCAAAATGTAAAGTAATGTACTTGGGAGCTAAAAATATGCATGTAAGTTACACACTAGGGGGAGGACTTCTGGGGGAATCCAAGTTGGAAAAGAATCTGGGAGTCTTAGTAGATGACATGACATTAGCATGCAATGCCAAGCTGCAGGAAGCAAGGCCAGCAGACTATTAGCATGCATTTAAAAGGGTATTTAATTAAGAGTTAAAACTAGAATGATAATGCTTTACAAAACTCTGGTTCACCCACATCTTGAGTATGCTGTCCATTCCTAGTCTCCACTCCTCAGTGAAGGATTTACTTGAACTAGAGAAAGTCCAGAGAAGGGCAACAAAGCTAATAACGGGGAGGAGGACCTCAGTTATGAGGAACAACTACAAACAATAAACGTATTCTCCCTAAAGTGACGCGTCTGTTGAGTGGTGGAGGACACACACTGATCGAATTTTAATCATTGTATGGCCAGCCTTCTATATAAAGCATTGGAGTATGAAGTTCAAAGGCTGCACAGAGAAGATGAGGTGGAGTTGGACTGGTTCCACTTTTCTTGTGTTGATTTTGTGTATATTTAAAAATTTTACTCATGACCTGTACTTATGTCCCTGCTTGCGATTTTATCCTGATTGGAGTTCTCCATGTATGTTCTAATGAGGTGAAAATTGACTTTCAGAAAAAATATTTTATAACTGCCAACCAGGGTCTCTTTATCCAGTAAATACAAATCTTGTTGTTATAACTAGCAATATATCTCTATTGTGTGATGTGAATAATGTGCTTCTTTGGCATTGAATAATTGCTGTAACTAAATCTATCAGTGTCAGTTTATTTTTCTGTTTTGTTTTGGCTTTTTGTTTCTTTTTTTTGTTATGAGCGCTAGGTAAATCTGAACAAACTCACTACCTTCCTTTCACAATCTGAAAATTCACATAATACAAAGTTAACACAACAAAGGCAGCATCAGATTGTGTTCTTAAACTGCAAGGATCACTGCAATTTTCCCATAAAAGCTCTGTTACATTGTTGAGTTTATTTACACTTCTCAGAGTGAAAGCTCCCCAGAGTTCAATTGTTCCGAGTTGATGATGTATTGTGTCGACTCAATAGCATTTTTGCAGCTGCTCAGATACAGTTCAATCAATATTGAGTATTCTAGAGGTTCCTGTTATTACAGTGAGAATGGAGAGTTCAGAAATTTCAGCTTATTAAATTGTTCCTGCTAAATGTAATATAATGCTTAACTCATGGTAGATGTTTAACGCTGTTTTGTATTCATTAAAAAGCATTATATGTGCTTTTTAAATATGACTAATGGAAGTGCTGAAACGATCTTTATATCAGCATTCTGTACAGCAGAAATCAGTCTGGAAGAAGGAGGGCAGTGTCTAGGGTCATGACTCTGATACATGCATGAGTGCTGACAAGGAACTTCCTGACAGGAGGAGAGAGGTGAGCTCATCAGTCTGTTGATTCTCCTTCACTACTAAATCATAGACTAGGGACAGATCGGTGACCAAGCTATATTGCTTTACTGCACTAAAGAAAAGTAATTTCACCAACTGAACTGGATAGATAAAGTTACAAATGCTTTGGCAGATAAATTAGCCTCATATATTAGTATTTGTTTGTGTTTTTATCTATTTACCTGGAGTTCAGCTCTAACATGCTCATTTTAGGGTGATTTAGAGAGTTGGTTAGCTCAACTGAGTGCGGGGACGCACTGAATGCTTTCGATGCCATTGTGCTTCTGCTTGGCGTATGCATATATTTGCAAATGTGTGCACACAAAAATCTCTGATTTTAATGTAATCTGTTAGACGAGGTCATTTTGGTTGTTTTGCAGACTGGTCGGTAAGTGTGCTGGGAAATCCTTTGTTTGTTTGTGATGTTGCCCTTCCAAGTGGTTGCCATTTTTTGTACAGTTGGTTGGGATGCACTGGATCTCTTATCTCTTCACTGCCATTGTGTTTTTGCTGGGCATTACGTGCATCCCTGTGCCTTTAAGGAGGGGTGGGCTCTCTTCAAGCACACCTGCTCTTAAGCTATTCATTGTTATATGTGCTCCTACTATGGAGATTCTGGAAATTTTAGAGTTAGGACCAAAGTATATACAGAGGTCCCTTGTCATGGGCACTGCGGCTTATGCATATATTTGCAAATTTGTGCAAGCCAAACCCTCTCTCACTCCGCCCATAGATCCAAGAGGACTTCCTCTTACACTGAGCTTTGGCATCTGATGAGTGAGTGTAAAGTTTTTTCATGAGGGGCACCACATGGTGATACATCCCACCATATTTGCTGTTTCTGCTGCCCCTGGTCTTATCTGTCCCACATTCAGGGAGTGAAAACAGAGTCCCCTGCACCCCAGGATCATTCCACTGTGCTCCTCTTAAATACCTCTGCACATTGCTGTAATCGGGCAGAGGGACTGGGTCACTTGAACTCAACCTTTCCGTTCACTCTCACTGCGGCCATCTGATGGTGGGACTTTGGTTTACTTAACTCCCCCTACATGATGTCATTATATAAGCGGGGTTCAAGTATCACAGTGTCTAGTAGACGGTAGTGTTGTCAATGCCCGCTTGGGAACAAGAAGACCAAAGATACTGGCTCTGCATACTTCCTACAGGTGAAAACTCATGAAATGTTTTTGTCACTTTAACTAGCATGAGAGTGCTTTTTAAGTGCTGTAGAAGAGAACAGTACTTTAGGAATTCCAACTGAGAAGTAATCTGGAGAATTGCAAACTTCACTCCTAAAAACCGAACTCTGGAATTGAAAAATGAGGGCGCCTCCTGTTTGTTAAGTCTAGGCAACCTTTGAGAGGTGGATAGCTACCTGGAAAATGTGCAAAAGATCAAAGATTCCATGGGAGTGGACCCTTTTTTAAAAAGATAAATTAACTATCAAGCCCCCAATAAAAAGATGCCATGAAGAACACATAATGTGTCACAGTAGTATCCTTTTCCCCCTGCACATCACCCCACACAATAGTATCCTCTGCCCCCTGCCCCCTTCCACATCACTCCCCACAGTAGTGTCCTTTGCCTCCCCAGAAATGTCATCTGCCCCCCAAGAAGTATCCTCTTCCCCAGTCACATTATCCCCCCTACAGTAATGTACTCTGCTCCCCCAACACACACCCAGTAGTGTCCCCTGTCCCCATCACATCATCCCCCCACAGTAGAGTCACCTGCCCCCCCTTAGTAGTGTTCTCTGCCCCTTTACCCCCCCCCCCCCCACAGTAGTGTGCTCTGCCCCCCTTCACATCTTCCTCTCTAACAGTAGAGTCCTCTTCCCCTCTGGCCCCCAAAGCAGTGTCCTATGCCCCCTTCACATCACCCCCCCCACTGTAAATGCAGTAGTCCCCTCTGCCCCCCCACCCCCCACCCCAAAGCAGTGACCTCTGCCTCCTCTCACATCCCCCCTACAGTATTGTACTCTGCCCCTTCACATCACCCCCCCAGTAGTATCCTTGTCCCCCTTTACATCACTACCCCCCCCCCCCCCCACACACACACACACACACACACACACACAGCAGTTTGGCATATTCTCCCTGGGCACTGGTTGGCTTGTCCAGACACTAGTAGGGGGGTGTCTGTACTGGAGGGAAAGTTAGTAAGGTTGTGTATAGAGGGGTGTGTACTCTGGAGAGGGTAGTCTATACTAGGGGGAAAAGGTGTCTGCACTGAGTGTTCCATGGAGGGATTTAGGAATGGGGGGGTCAGTCTGTACTGAAGGGTCTGAGC